TTTCCCAGACATGCCCGGCTTTTGGGGATTTCCCCCCGGACGGGGATTTGAGCCCCCAAAAGCCGGACATGTCCGGGAAAATCCGGACGTATGGTAACCCTATTTCTTCTCAAGTATTGCCCACAACTCCAAATTCAACCCACAATCTCAGACTCAACAGAAATACTCATGGCACACTGGTGTCCTGGTTAATGACTCAGCCTTCTAGGTGTGATGATAATAATGGGTGTATTTTTTGCAGGCCTGGGGTCTTGCTGTGTCACTTAGAAGTCACTTGTCTTTCTGTGCTTTCTGCTACACACAGTTGTCTGGAACTGTGTGTAGCAGAGCTGGTCAAAATATTTATTTTCAACTGCAGACGGTGATGCTGGTGTGGGAGTGTTCTAGACCAGTGGCTCTGAACCTTTCCAGACTACTGTACCCCTTTCAGGAGTCTGACTTGTCTTGCCTACCCCCAAGTTTCACCTCACTTAAAAACTACTTGCTTGCAAAATCAGATGTAAAAATTCAAACGTCACAGCCACTATTACTGAAAAATTGCTGACTTTCTCATTTTTACGATATAATTATTAAATAAATCAATTGGAATATAAATATTGTACTTACATTTCAGTGTATAATATATAGAGTAGTATAAATAAGTCATTGTCTGTATGAAATTTTAGTCTGTACTGACTTTGCCAGTGCTTTTTATGTATCCTGTTGTAAAACTAGGCAAATATTTAGATGAGTCAATGTATCCTCTGGGAGACCTCTGTTTACCCCCAGGGGTACGAGTAACCCTCGTTGAGATCCACTATTCTAGAGAGAGTTTGATGGACGGATGGTGGTTGTTGAAGTTGTTGAAACTTGAAAATTTGTGTCAGGGCCGTCCCTAGTCGTTTTGGTGCCCTACGCAGTCACCCCCCACCCCAGGGGTGTGTGGCCCCAGGCCTCTGCAAGGGGGTGAGGCTGGCCCCAGGCCTCCGTAGGGAGGCAGGAGCAGGCTTGGGGGGGCAGGGGGGGAAACCACCCTCCAGCATGAGCCGGCAGAGCGAAGTGGGTTGAGGCTGGGTCACTCCACTTCCTGCCACCCAGTGAGTGCAGGGCAGGCCCGACCCCGTACTCATGGGGCGGCGGGAAGTGGATTGACCCAGCCCCAGCCCGCTCTGCTCTGCTCCCCTGGCTCCCAGCCTTGGGACTTGGGGGGGGGTAGGGGGAACCGCCCCACAGCATTCACCGGTGGCATGGCTGGGAGACGGTGGCACAGAGCGGGTTGGGGCCGGGTCGCTCCACTTATCACTGCCTGGTGAGTGCAGGCCTGACCCCTGCTGCAGTCCTCAGGGGAAGGGGTGGAGTGGGGGCGGGGCGGGGGTGGAGCAGGGGCGGGTGCTTTGGGAAGGGGTGGAGTGGGGTGGGGTTGGGGCGGAGCAAGGGTGGGAAGAGGCAGGGCTTGGGCAGAGCAGGGGCAGGGGTAAGGATGGGTAAGGATGGCCCAGGCTTGTGTCTTTCACCAACAGAAGTTGGTCCAATAAAAGATATTACCTCACCCACCTTCTTGCTCTACTATCCTTGGACCAACACAGGTATAACAATATCACAAATAACAATTTTTAATCTGTCCCTTTTCACGGCAGAATTTTCAAAGCTATTTATTTTTTTAAAAGATTAATTGCCTTTTCTCTTTCTCTCTCTAAATCCAGAGTTGTTCTGTTTTGTTTTGTTAAGGATTGAGGGATCATATATATTCACAATCCCAAAGTCGGTAAAACTACTCACAGCAAAATGAAACTACTCATATCATATATATAGGTATTTCATCAGGTGACTAAAATTGACAATACAGAAATACGTACAATGAAAACAACAAAACAATGGGGAAAAATTACAGAACAACCAACAGACTTCCCCCCCGCACACACACACACATTTCTTTTCTTCTCTTTAGCTCTATCAAATCTTCAGAAAGCGAGAAAGTTAAATAAACACGTCCATGAAAAATTCATTTTTTTTAAAACAAACCTAACATTTCAATGACATTTTGTTCTCTTGGAGAACTGTGGCTCAGCTCCGCTGTGTGGCATAAAGTGAGAAGAACAACATTTTGCTCCCTAAATCCTTTAGAGATTCTTGAATAGGAGATGCTACAGAAGCTCCCAGTGGTATTTGCCAGTGAGGGGTGTGCACAAAGGGGGGCAAAGGGGTGCACTCCGCCAAATCTCCATGTGTTCGTGCAGCTCATGGAGGGAGGAAGTAGCAGGGTGGCTGGCTGCTAGCTGAGCTGTCCCCGCCCCCAATAGCTACTGCTTATCCTGCCCTGCTGTTGGAGTCCCCGGTGTTGCCGCTGTACTATACACTGAAATGTAAGTACAATTTATTTATATTCCAACTACTTTATTTTATAATTATATGGTAAAAATGAGAAAGGAAGCCATTTTTCAGTAATAGTGTGGCTGTGACACTTTTGAATTTTCATGTCTGATGTTGTAAGCAAGTCGTTTTTAAGTGAGGTGAAGCTTGGGGGTAGGCAAGACAAATCAGACTTCTGAAAGGTGTACAGTAGTCTGGAAAGGTTGAGAGCCGCTGCTTTAGACTTTTCTCTGCTAGATGGAAGAGCCCATTATCAAATATTTGTTCCCCATGTAAGTACTTATAGACTGTAATCAAGTTGGATGTATATTTTTCTAACCACGCCCCTTTTCTATCTCTCTCCTCAGGGAAATTGCCTCTCTACTACCGGCTGAACTGCACCTCAGTGTTAAATTGCGGCAAGGTGAGGGCACCCGACGAATCTCACCTTACTTATGACTACACCTGCTGCAACACTGATTTCTGCAATTGAGTTGGAGGGGAGGAAAGTGTGTGTGTGGGGGGGTCAGTGTCAGTGAATCATTTCAGCTCTTACATTTGCTGTCTCTCTTCTTCTGCAGTGCAGGGAAGGGGAACGGATCATGAGTCTCTTTTTCTATGTTTCTTTTAAATTCAGGTGGTTTTTTTTTAAGATTCAGAGATATTTCCATTCTTCCAGGAAAACACCTGCTTTCCTGTTGTCTTTAAAGCAGGGATCATGTCTCATAGTGATGAGGCTTGGGGTAAAATGTTCTAAAGTGTCACTGTCAGAAGCCTAATGTGAAATATTGGAAACTGTGTTCAAAATTACATACTGTCACTTTATGTGTGAGGGGGTTGCCTGGCCTGCAGCCAGGCTAGGGGGCTCTGAGGGAAACATGTGATCTGAGTTGTCTGAGTCAGTTAACAGACAACCAGGTGGGGTGAGTTGCGCCTTTCTGGTTGTAGGGAGCAGCCTGCTTTGTCTCTCTCTGTTTCAGAGTTCTTGTGTGTCTTATCGTTCAGAATTCTAAGAAATCAAGTTGTGTTACGTTGCAACCTTCCAGCAAGAGTATTTATGTTCTGATCCAACTTCTCCATGTGTATGCCATGAATATAACACCTAAGTCCCACTAACTTTCCATTTTACTCATAATCATTTTTCTTAGTTCCAAAGTCATAGGGTCTTTAGGAATCCATGATCTACTAAAGTCAATGAGACTGAACTCATGTAACTAACAGTAGAACCTAGCCATGTGTCTATATTTTCTTCTCCAGCTGGTCTTATTTATCGAGGTCTAAACTTGGCAGGTCTGATGCTGTAATGGCTGCTTAGCACACTGATCGGAGTCACCTCGTTTTTGCCTTGTACTCCCCCCATCTATTGGTTGTATCCACTTGTGGTGTCTCCTTCCTAAACGTAGATGGTAAGTGCTTCAGGGCAGGGACTATCTTTTTGTTATGTGCGTGTACAGCGTCTAGCACAATGGGACCTGGGCCCCTGTCTGGGGCCTCTGGGCACTACCACAATAAAAATAAATAATAATAATAATAACATGATCTCTGTGTTATGGAAGGGAGCAAACAGATTTTTGGTGCTGGGGATCTTAAATCAACAAGAATATTCCACTCAATTTACTGTCTATTTAGATTGTGTGCTCATGATTTACGACTATCTGTTGCTTTGCTTCTGTGTAGTATGCTGCAAAATAAGGTCCTGGTCTCAGGTGCTACTGCAATATACATAATAATAATGTTAATCTTTCAAGGAAGAAATACACACACCAGCCACGCGTATTTAAATTGCCAAATAAATCATTCAAATGTGAAGCCACTTCAGTTTTCAGTGATTCATTTTCACCCTCTGTAAAACAGGGATAACATACTCATGAACCATGCCAGGGGTTTGGAGGCTAAATCCATTAATGTTTGTAGACCACATCAGGATTCCCCACTGGAGAAGTGCCAAACATGACAGGTATTATTCTATGAAACTGGAAGGCAAAACAGTTTAAAAATGGAAAGTCAATAGGAAGATATTTTAAACATAATCCAAAACTTGCCTGAGGAACTCAGTACCACAAGGTGTCACTGAGGTCAAGAGCTTGTAAAAAGGATTAGACATTTATATAGATAATGAGACCATCCACAGTTACATCAGACAAGAAAAAAATTGATGGATATAAATTCTGATTCTTTGGGGCATAAGCCATACAGCTGGGAGAGCTCAGGGAGAAACTTCTGTGGGCATAGTTGCCCTTTAGGGCGTTACTTTTACCTTGTTCTGGTTGGGAGCAAAGACATATTCAGGCTTAACTGCCATGATCTAACGGTCTGACACTCTAGCACAAGTAAAATTGTGTACGTGCAAGAAAATGCAAGTATGTCTGTGAGCAAATGAAAGATACAAGGAGGCACAAAGCTGGAAGAGAACAGTTTGAACTAGCACAAAACAAATCGGGGAAGAGAGCTAATGTGAAAATTAGAGGCTAATCCATATGTATAAAGAAAGGTAGTAGAAAGTTATATATAGTTGGCATAACAAAGGATCAAGGAAGCCGTGAATTGACTCATCCTGGAGGTGACTGTGGTGGTACCATCCCATTTCCCAATCTGCTTCCCACTTGTAAGTAACCAATCACTGCTTACGGATACTTTTCCTTATTAATAAAGATTTGTTTGTTCCATCTACTGGGCAGTCCTAAAGCAACTGGTCATTGTCGGAAGCAGGAGAATAACTGACGAGATGGATCCATGGGTCTAACCTGGTCTGTCAATTCCTGCGCTCCTATGAAAGGCAATATCATTTGAGGTCTTGGGCACTAGGTGAGGTACAATGTACTCCCTCAGTGGGACAATGTCTGGGCTCCCCTGCTTTGCATCCATGTCGTTATAGCACTTTCAGCTCCCACCAGGCCTTAAATTCAGATGGAGCTGTCCAGAGCAGAGCTCTGGTAAACGTTTTCAACCTCCAAGAATTTCAATAGCATGCTGGGGGTGGCATGGGCAGCTCTAGGAAATACCTTAGAGAATTTAAGCCATTGCTCCCACATAAGTGAAACATCCCCTAAGGGAGGACTGATTCACTGGGTGGGAGGAACTTTCACAACAGGCTGCAGAAAGGGGCACTCTACCCTGTACCAGGTGATTGACAAGGGCGCCTCTTTTTAGAAAGAGAAATCTTTAATCAGATTGGGACTTTTCAGCTTGGAACTCTTTGCCAGAGGATGATGTGAAGGCCAAAACTATAACAGGGTTCAAAAAAGAACTAGATAAGTTCATGAAGGTTAGGTCCCATCAATGGCTATTAGTCAGGATGGGCAGAGATGGTGCTAGCCTCTGTTTGCCAGAAGCTGAGAATGAGTGACAGGGGATGGATCACTTGATGATTGCTGGTTCTTTTCATTCCCTCTGGGACACCTGGGATCAGCTACTGTCAGAAGACAGGATACTGGGCTAGATGGACCTTTTGTCTGAGCCAGTGTGGACATTCTTATGTATGTTAGAGTTGGCTCTTCTGAAATGAGCAACAAGGGGAGGGTTAATTTAATTAATGGAGATATCCTATCTCCTAGAACTGGAAGGCACCTTGAAAGGTCATCCAGTCCAGTCCAGTCCCCTGCCTTCACTAGCAGGACCAAGTACTGATTTTGCCCCAGATCTCTAAGTGGCCCCCTCAAGGACTGAACTCACAATCCTGGGTTTAGTAGGCCAATGCTCAAACCACTGAGATATCCCTCCCTACAGGGTTAAACTCATCAGCACCCCCTCTGGATGGGATGGAGCTGGGAGACAGATGGGGGAAGGGAGGAAGGGTGCTGGATCTCTCTGCCCTAGAGAGTCCCTCTCTGTCCTTCCAGCTGAGAATCTCTGCCAAGGGACAGACCAGACAAGGGGGAAGGAGGGAAGTGGAGAGAGGAGCGGGAGTGGAGAGAAAAATGCTGAGGGGAGAGGAAAACAGCATGGAGGGTGGGGGAGAACAAGCGAAGGAGTGGGAGGCTGGGATGGTGGGGGAGTGTGAAGAAGTGGGAAGGGAAACAGAGGAGAGGGCAGTGTGTGGGGAAACAGGATCTCAGTGTCACTGAGGGGTGCTCTGATGCCAGACAGCTGTTCTGAGACTTTTGTAAATGCCATAATATCTCCTCTCTGTGATGCATCTGGACAGTTGAATTATCTGTCAGCCTGTCTGTTTTTCTATCTGTCTTTGCATGGCACATATGGGATGAGGCTATTATCTATCCATCCATCCATCCATCCATCCATCCAGGAATACAGAGTAAAGATAACTAGCAAGGTGAAGTTTCTTGCCTTCGTTCTTGGAGAGTATGTTAATGACAAACTATTTCAACTCCGTTCCACAGTCCTTCACACACAGATAGATTCAAATCATGTGCAGATATTGGTACATGGATTTCATCACAGACCAAGAGGAAAGATGTTTATCAGAACCCCCTGGGAAGTAAATCACTGACATTAATTTGTAAAAAGCAACAGAGAGTCCTATGGCATCTTTAAGACTAACAGATGTATTGGAGCATAAGCTTTCGTGGGTGAATGCCCACTTCGTCGGATGCATGCATCCAATACATCTGTTAGGGTACATCCCCGAGAGGTCGATTTCTACCCGCCGATTCAGGCGGGTAGTGTAGACCTAGCCTCAGTCTTAAAGGTGCCACAGGACTCTTTGTTGCTTTTTACAGATCCAGACTAACACAGCTACCCCTCTGATAGTTGACATTAATTTGATCATTCCAGACTAAAATACACTTAAATTTTTGCAAGTGAATTTTTTCCTCCCTAGGAAAACTGACCTTTTCCCTCCCCCCTAAAATGCTTTTCAGTGAATGATTTTTTTTTTTCAAAAAAAGTGTTTGATAAATAAAAGAGTTACAAAAACATTCAAAAACATGACAAATGGATCCAGTTTTGAACACTATGAAATATAAACAACCAACATTTTGATTTTTTTCATGAAAAACAATGTTTATTGGAGCCTCATGGCATCTGTGCCAAAATAAAACACATTCTAGAGGCTCTTCTGAAGTTGGTCAGTGGGAATAATATTATTTGTGGGGTTTTGTATTTTTGCCACCAGACACTGTACTTTCCCCCCCCCCCAATACCATTTTTAATCATTATTCATGCCAAGCAATTCTTGCAAAACTAAGGAAAGATTGGCATCTTGTGGACACACTGAAAATAGCCAGCTATAAACCATAGACTCATCAGCACAGACATATCCTCATCTTCTCCGAGGATCCAAGAGGATAATTTAGCGCTGAGTCCATGCTGGTGCAGTTATGACAAAAGTTATACACAAGTCTGGACAGAACGTACAACCTAAATATCAGATAAGAACCTTGGGTCTGGATCTGGCTTTGTGTCCAACCTCCAATCTGAATCTCTCTCCCATTTGTCTTCAAACTTTCAAAAAGTTTGAAATCAGATCTGAATTTCATATCCCAATGTACAGGTGTGTCCTAATCCGATGTTTTGTTTCTATCCACAGTAGATCTAAGCTTTCTGAATTCATAACCAGAGATTTGTTTCTGCCCATTATAAAGCTGTGAAGTTCAGATCAAATCTTTGTTCCATAACTCAGAGCCAGAATTGTTTACCGCTTATGGAGTTCACATCCAACCCTAGATGTAGAATTTGCCTCCAAAGTTTTGGGTTGTGTCCACTATGGCGCAGTAAAAGTCAGGTCTAGATCTGGGTATGGAATTCAGATCTGGGTTTTTTTCTTTCCCCACTGCTTGTGTGACCCTTCTGCCAGTTGGAGTTGGCAGCAACAAGGGCTGGGTTCAATATCAAGGGTTCCTTGTCAACAATACAAGATACAACACAAAACCAGCTTGAGTCCACACCCAGTAACGTGGGACAATTACACAGCACTCCTGAGTGCCTCTAAGAGGCAATACTTCCCACTCGCAAGCACACAGTCGGAGCGTAGGAAAGGAACTTTTAATAAAAAGGAGGGCCACAAGCAGGATTCATAAACATAAACCCATGAACAAGACACCCACCCCAGAGTACATTGGGCAGGGTCCTTTTGCCTTAGGTTCTTAAATCCAGCAACTACAAGTTTGTTTAATGTGCCCCTCCCTTCACCGCACCTTACTCACAGTTGCTGTCCTTGGTCAATGCAGACCCAGAATTCAGAGGTGCATCTGCAGAGCTCACCCCCGACCCCAGCTTGGGGGAAGGAAAAGAAGGCACCTTGCACTCTCCACCAGCTGCTCAGCACTCTGGGACGCTCTGTGATCCAGCGGTGGTGGAGACTTCTCAAAAGTGTGTGGGGAGGAGGGGGCAGGGACCCTGCTCCCTTCGTGGCCCCGCCCTACCCCTGCCCCTGGACAAGCTGGAAGCTGGAGCAGGCTGGGAGCTGCAGACCCTCCACCTGCCCAAGGTGGGGGTGGGGGGCGAGAGCAGCTCCTGGCCTGTGTCCCTACTCTGTGGGCCCCCCATGGGGGATGGGGCCTCAGAACTGCAGCCCAGCCAGGGTAAGAGCCGTGTGACCTGGCAGCTGTGGGGAACCGCGGTAGACCCTCCACCTGCCCTGGGTGGGGGAGCCAGTTCCCTCAGCCTCTCCTCGTAAGTCATGTGTCCCAACCCCCTGATCATTTTCATTGCCCTCCGCTGGACTCTCTCTAATTTGTCCACATCCTTACTGAATAATCACTTCCCTCGATCTGCTGGCAATGCTCCTACTAATGCAGCCCAATATGTCATTAGCCTTCTTGGCAACAAGGGCACACTGCTGATTCATATCCAGCTTCTCATCCACTGTGATCCCCAGGTCCTTTTTTGCAGATTTGCTGCTTAGCCAGTCAGTCCCCAGCCTGTAGCGATGCATGGGATTCTTCTGTCCTAAGTGCAGGACTCTGCACTTGTCCTTGTTGATTTCTTTTGGCCCAATCCTCCAATCTGTCTAGGTCACTCTGGACCCTATTGCTACCGTCCAGCGTATCTACCTCTCTCCGCAGCCTAGTGTCATCCACAAATTTGCTGAGGGTGAAATTCATCCCATTGTCCATAACATTAATAAAGATGTTGAACAAAACCGTCCCAGGACCGACCCCTCAGGCACTCCGCTTGGGCAAAGCAATCCCATCATGCTGAGCACCGAGGCAGAGTGGGTGAGACAGTGCAAAGGAGAGCAGCTCCTGAAGTCCTCTTCCACAGCTCATCACTAGATGTCAGGGGAGAGCTCATTCAGACCCTGCTTACATTTGTCATAGCTGTAGTTCAAGAAAGCATCCTTAATCAACAAAGCACTTAAGCACTGAAGTCAATGGGTCTTAAGCAGGCACTCAAGTGATATCCTGAATGGAAGTCTGTAAGAGCTATGAAGTACAGATTCAGAATTCAGCTCCAGAGTTTTGAGTTGGGCCCACTAGGGAGCGATGACATTTAGGTCTAGATCTAGCTCTGGAATTCAGATCTTGAGTGGCATCCCATCCTCTTCCAACCTCCTACTGCTAAGAATGATCAAGCCCAGATCCAGAACACAGATCTGGAGGGGGGTCGGGTATCTCTCTGCCTATGTTTTCCATCCGAGTCTCCTCCGCTGGCTGAAGCCCTGATGAATGACTCATTACCAGTTTAAGAAATTTGACACTGCAGATATGACCCTGTGACACCAGCTGGTCTCAGAATGGGAACACCCACATCGCATTCAGTGCCAAGCATTCATTAAAGTGAAAGCAGTTCCTGCTCTCAGGGAAAAGAGCCATGGCTGCTGTCTTCCTCCCCGGTAACCTCCAAGACGAGGCGACTTGTTCGGTCTGCCTGGAGTTCTTCAAAGACCCCGTGTCCATAGAGTGCGGTCACAACTTTTGCCGAGCCTGCATCACCAAGAGCTGGAGAGGCCTGGAGATGGATTTCCCCTGCCCTCAGTGCCGGGAGATCTTCCCACAGAAGAACTTCAGGCCCAACAGGCAGCTGGCTAACATGTGCGAGATCATCAGCCAGTTTGCAGTATCTGGGACGAAAGAGGCTCTGGAGGAGGGGCTCTGTGAGAAACACAGGGAAGCGTTCAAACTCTTCTGCAGGGATGATCAGAGGTCGATCTGCGTGGTGTGTGACAGATCCCGGGAGCACCGGCCTCACACTGTGGTGCCCGTAGAGGAGGCTGCCCAGGAGTACAAGGTATCTGTCTGTCTGTCTGTCTATCATCAGATCTGTATATCTATCTATATTTGTATGTATCATGTCTTCCTCTCCCACTCTATCATCTACACCCCCCACTGTGTCTCTAGCTACACCAGTGGTTCTCAACCAGGAGTATACAAACCCTGGGGGTATGCAGAGGTCTTCCATGGGGTACATCAACTTGTCTAGCTATTTGCCTAGTTTTACAACAGGCTACATAAAAAGCACGAGCGAAGTCAGTGCAAACTAAAATTTCCTACAGACAGTGACCTGTTTATACTGCTGTATATACTGTACACTGAAATGTCAGTACAATATTTATATTCCAGTCGATTCATTTTATAATTATATGATAAAACTGCGAAGGTCAGCAATTGTTCAGTAATAGTGAGGCTGTGACACTTTTGTATTTTTAGGTCTGATTTTGTAAGCAAGTCGTTTTTAAGTGAGATGAAACTTGGGGGCAATGCAAGACAAATCAGCCTCCTGAAAGGGGTACAGTGGTCTGGAAAGGTTGAGAATCACTGATCTACGCCATGAAAGCACATGGCAATCACCTAGTTCAGAGGTTTTCCACAGAGCACTCTTCTGTGGGGAGCTGGCACATCATAAACTACTGGTCTCTCCATTTTCTCCAGCTGCACTAAAAGACATCTAAAAACACACAAAATACTTTCCTACCATTACCTTTCTGTGTAAGCAATTGCTGTGGCCGCTACCAAGATGTTATGTGATTGCAAATGGGATGGGAGGGTGTGGGATCCTAATTCTAGAAGACAATCTCTCTGTCAAGATATGGTGCATACTATGGGAAAGCTGGAGAATGCTGGCTCCAGTTAGTTTTCCTTAAGTATATTGAATTTAAGCCGTGTGATTGAAGGAGCCTGATGCTGCAAACGTTTACTTACTCAGTTGCCTTGCTAGAAAACGAAGGGTTAAATGAGCGAGAGTCTCCCAATCTATTTTTGTCAAGGGAGAATTCCCAAGGATGAATAAGGTCTTTTGCAGACACTGGTTCTCCTGAGCCGGGGCTAAGTTTAATTAAAATGGAATTTACAGCTGATAAATGCAGCAGTATTGTGTGTGTGAGAATGTCCTCTCGTGTATATATGAATATGTATGTGAGTTTCTTCTGTGTGTGTGTGTGTGTGTGTATATGTGTGTGTGTGTGCATGCGCATATATGACTGCATTCCTTCTCTGTGTCTGTCTGTCTGTCTGTCTGTTTGTT